ACACCTTCCCTTTGTGTGAGAGCAGGCACACAACCTGCTTCAAACCAATAGAATGTGGCAGGGATGACAAGACTAATACCTATGGCTCCTGATGCTTATGGTGTAGGGAGATTCCTGAATAAGTCCCCAGGAATGGAACTGGAATGGAAGGAAGCCTCTAGAAACCCAAAGAGTCCATCCCATTCTGTCCATCCCATTCACTCCCATCCTGTCGAATCCCTCAGGTCCTCTGTCCTGTTCTCACAAGAAAATGAATCCCCCAGCAACCCCCAATCTTTCCCGAGTTGAATCTCCAAACAAGAAATCCACCCATGGATTATAGCCTGGTGAGACCAATCAGCATGACCCGAGTTCCTGACCCACAGGAACACAAGAGAACAGGCATGTTTGCCAGTAGCCACTACAGTTGTGGCCATAAGTTGTGTACATTTCCTACAACAGTGCCCATGCTGTGCCAGAGTGAATATTTGGTGATCTCATTCATTAGAGTCTCATTCATTACAGTCAGACACGTGGTGTTTCACCGTGATTCTTGCCTTATGCAAGTAGGATGTTTGTTCTAATCTAGGCTGTGAGTGCAGGAGGAGCAGACCTCTGTCCTTTCACAGTATGTCAAAGTACTGGGCACACAGTAGGTTCTCTGTCTGGTGTAATTTGACACCTTCAGCATAGGGCGTTTGCCTTGCACACAGCCAGCCTGGCTGAGCAGGGTTCGATTCCTCCCCCACTCTCGGAGAGTCTGGCAAGCTACTGAGAGTATTGCCCACACAGCAACACCTGGCAAGCTACCCGTGACGTATTTGATATGCCAAACACAGCAACAAGAAGTCTCAAAAAGGAGACGTTACTGGGCCCGCTCGAGCAAAAATCGATGAACACCCTTCAAAGAAACCAAATGGATACTGAACAGAGGCACATGGACCCTTTGTACTACATGCCCCAGACATGCCAAGAACAAGTTCAAAGTCCTGTCCTCTAGTTTCTCACAGTAGAAGCCAACCAAAGAACTCTTCCCATTGCATCTCCTTCTTACCATGCAGAATCAGTAATCCTCTAAAGACCCTTACGGTTCTTTGTCAATCTGTCAAGGTTGTGATCCTGCAGGTCAGATGGAGGTATCACGGCAAACTCCCTGATGACTTTTTAAGTTTGCAACTTAGAAGTGAAAGGTCCCTGAGGTGCTCATCTTCCATTTAATCAAGGATTCAATCATCAAGTTAAATGGACACACCCAATCCTACCTCAATAGCCCATCTAGGCATCCCTTCACCTCAACGACTTAATGGATATATCCATATTCAAGCAGACCAGAGATCAAAGCTATATTAGGCAGTAGCTACTTTTTATTCATAAGTTTACAGAATATATTGAATTAAGAGGCATATCGTTTGTTAACTCTATTTATGAAAAAAGAACTAAAGATAAATTTGGCCTTAAAATGCATTCATTGTAGCTTGCATTCTGCAAAATTTGCTTCCATATACATAGAAACAATTCGCAGTTTCCCTAAGTTATGCATCTAAAATACATAAAAGTGTTATCAAATGGAACAGGGCCTATTTTTTTTTTAGCACAGTCCTTATACATTCCTGATAGTCAAAGGTATTGATAGGAAATGCATAGTTTCCTACTAGCAAAAAAGTAGATTCTGATACAAGCAAAGAATGAAGATAAGGATAAGAGTGTCACGGTTTGGATCTGTTAGTATACAATATCATTTATGTCTGAAGTAGCATTACAATGAGTTAACTTCATTCATGGCATGTTGGGATGTTGTTCATTTTCCTGGTCTTTAACCTTCTCCTTGCTTGGCTGAATCAAAGGACGTCAGTATGATTTTTTTTTTACCAGTTCATTTCTATTTCTCTACCCCCATCTCCCACCAAGAAAAGTCCCTCTTAGTCATGTGCCCTATTTGTCAATCTATATCCATTGATTTTCCCAAAAATCTGGATGACCCTACTGTATGCTCCACCCCAAGGTATTATTTAGCAGAATCTTTGGCCACTCAATGCCTAATGCAAGAACTTTCTTCGAAAACTGTGTGCAGAGGGGCTGATACTTCCACAAAAGGATCTGAAAGCTGGCTAAAGAGATTTTCTTTAGATAGCATGCAAATAGACTCCCTCCCGCCGACCTTCATCTCTCTTTCATTATACCCCCAGTTGGAGGAATTTCCATCATGAGTGTTCCTGGCAGCCAAACCTCCAGCATCCCACGCTGATTTCTTTCCTAAAAATACACGGCCTCTTACTCCACAGGGAAGAAAAATGCAACACTGCCTTTTCCAGCATGGTCCCCAAAGGCTGATTAGGGCTGTGAACAATTCATCATCATGCATGCATCTTAGTTTTCAATTTTTCCCTCATAGGACTACTCTGTATGTCTTGCAGATGCAGTGACAAGAACCAGATGCATCTCAAGCTCAAAGTATCCCACCTTAGACCCCCCATCATAGCTATGGGGATATGTGGGTGGGGAATGCCACTAAAACTGCTAGACACCCTCTTTAATAATAAATAATAAAAAATAAAATAAAGACACCCTCTTTAGAAGAGAAAATAATCAGAAACTTCTGGAAATAATCAGAAGTGTCAAGAGTGAAGCCTTGCATGTAACAGTAGTTCCGTAGTGCTTAATCGTTAAGTGGACCAGTTGATTGAATGTTGTCTATTCAGCTATGGTATCTATTCAGTTATTTCCTCCTTCTGGTAAGGCATCTTTTTGTTGCATTTTATTTCCTCTCAAGGTGCTGGTCTATTCAAACGCAGGATAAATGAGAATGTTTTTTTGGAGGGCATGGAGGAGAGTCACAGAAGGAAAACAGGAAAGCTGCTATTCAAAGGGGAAATTCTAGGTCTTTCCCCCTCAATTCTGAATAATCAGAAAATTGAGTCAGATTTCCGGTGTCTATTTCCTTCTGAAACAACTCTTGCTACTCAATAAAGAATTGAGCAAGTGAGATGACCATCCATGGCTTTGCCCATGTTCTCAGGGGACTTTTCTGCATTGTCTGCAAGCATGCAATCATTCCCATGGCCCTTAATTTTAATGTTTGCTAAGACACTTAGTCCCAACAACCCTCCAGTAATCTGAGGGGGACAAGTCCTTGCTGTAAGGTGGTGTGGCTTGGCCATGTGGATTTGTGGAGGAATTCAGTCTGAGCCCGGCCACCAAGATTATAACCTGACCAATTGATCTCTTGCAGAGAGGGCTGGGAAGAGTGAAGAAGCAAGAGCGGATCCTCCTAAAGTCACCCCATGGGTCTGCCTGTTCTGGGTGTTTTGGTTTGGGGAATCTGACATTAAGATCAGAAGCTTCTTCCAGGAAACTTCAAGGGCTTCTCAGGATGGAAGAACAAGGTTAATGAAGCCAGGTTTCCACCCACATCCCCCCCACCCCCTACTACCACTACTTCTCATGGTAAGAATATCTATGTTCCTTTCCTAAATCAGTGAGAATAAACACCTCCATGGCACAGGGACTCTGGAATTCGCAGGCTCTAAGCCTGCCTAAACTTTGACCCCACGCCGCTATCATGAAATAAACTATTTTTTTTTTTAAGGAAAGAAAATCAGAGGAGGCTGAAACAATAGCACAGCAGGTAGGGTGTTTGTCTTGCACGTGGTCAACCCAGGTTCGATTCCCAGCATCCCATATGGTCCCTCGAGCACCGCCAGGAGTAATTCCTGAGTGTAGAGCCAGGAGTAACCCCTATGCAATGCTGGTGTGACCCGAAAAGAAAAGAAAGAAAGAAAGAAAGAAAGAAAGAAAGAAAGAAAGAAAGAAAGAAAGAAAATCAGAAAGAAACCTACTTGGAGCTGACCCCCCGCCCCCCCGCCCCTCATCCCAGCACCCCAACCCCAACTGCTTTAGGTCTTTCTTTCACCTGTGCATGAGACCTCCAGTCTCAATAAGCCCCAGGCTAACACATCACACTTGCTGGGTTTCCGGTACTCAGCAGCTGTCACCAGCATGGAGAGCGCAGGTGGCTGGTCCCCAGCGTCACCTTGCAGTGAGGCTGGGAAGCCAGATCCCTGCTCTGTGGTGGAGAGAGCACGTGGGGCAGACAGACACCCTGGGTGCTCCCTCTCCAAGCAGCTGGAATCCAGAACATTACTCCCACGAATCAGCCCTGCACTGTTTGCCAGGTGCTCTGCTGCCAAGTGTGGAGCGAGGCTCTGAGCATGTGCAGCCAAGTCAAACAGACCAGGAAAGCTGAAGAACACCAAAGTCAGAGCAATTGTGCCTTAAAAATAAAACGAAAATGGCTAACAGACCAATTTGCTCCTGCTGGATCGGGGTTTGGGAGGAAGGTCTCAGGAAGCGAGGCTACTTGTGTGTGGGTGAGCCTACTGATGAAACCCCTGCCGCCCTAGGCTGGCAGTGCTCGGTCTGCAGCCCCAGAATGTACCCAAGAGTGCTGCTATGACATCAGTGACTCGTTCTCTAGAGGCTATTTATTGCCTCCATCTGCACTGCTTCAGGTCCAGCAGCCACAAACACATTTGTATTTGCAGTGAAACTTCCACCAGCTCCTGGCAAACATTCCAAAGGATCCCAATGCAATAGGATTCTGCTCCCTTCAGTGGCTCAAAGAGAGACAGTGGGATTTGCTCTCACCGTGCCAGACTCCAAAGTGCAGATGTTTTCTTAAGAGCCCCAGTTAACCGAGCCCAACATCTATCTGGAATCCTCTACTAAAAGAGACCCCAGGACCTTCCCACCATCTACATCAGAGAGGTCATCCGGAGAGAACCCCCTGCTCCACTGCACTCAGACATGACGTGGGACTCAGTGAACCTGCCCCTGCCCCCCACTCGGCTGCTCAGTCTGAAAGCTCCTGCCTTAGAGATACATCCTGCCAGCTCATGACCAAGTGAATAGAGGCTGGTCAGGCTCAGGGAAGTTTCCTCTGCTAAATACTACAGGACCATCAGTGTCATGGGTGTCCTTGGTAGGTCTTACAAGCTGTTGTCATCATCCCTTCACAACTCATCAGGAGCAGTGATGCCAGGCAATCAGCCCAAGCAGGAACATTACTGGCAGGGCAGTGAGCAAGCAAGCAGCATGGTATTCAATTATTTGAGATAGAAAATCACCTTGAGGGCAAAGACAACATGCATAACCCAAAGGATCCCCGTCTCTTGGTTTCTAAGAACATCAAGTCTCCTGGAGGGCCGCCTGTGACTCCACCAAACCTCCCTTCCAAAATCCTACCAAACGCTCAACAGATGGAAAACCCAGTTTCATCATGCTAAAGGCCTGAAGAAAAATTTAGTCATTGGCCTGTTTGCTGCTTACCCACAAACTCAAAATCTGGTTTTGGAGAAGCAGAAGACTCACCGAGAGCATGAAAACGTATGATTGCTCTGGTACCAGGGGAATCGGGTTTGAATCATGAAGAAGAGAAGATTCTTTTGCTGAGCTCCTGGGCCTCTGGCCAGAGAAGGGCCCAGATACATCAGTGGCACCTTCTCTGTGGCAGAGGAAGTAGCATCAGAGTTTTGTTAATATACCCAAGCATAAGTGGACAAGCCAACACAAGTGGAGGTTCTTCTAATATCAGAGGAGGAGGAAGGGGGTAGGCTTGGAAGTCTGGGATGGCTCAAAATAGCATTGCTGAGTATTATCAGATTTTTAACCTAATCATCAGCAAATCTTTCAGCTGACTTTGGCTTTAAGAGTTCCTACTAAAAACAGACTTAAAATGGAATGCCAAGAGTTCATCATTTGTTTGGTCTTTTATTTTTATAATTATGATTATTTCATTCTAAGAGCTGCCCCATCTTATCTGCTGTACTCCTTCACTAAAAAGCACAAGACTCTTCTAGACAGTGAGAGTTGAAGTTGGTCTCTTTCTCAGAGATTACAGGCTTTAAGATGTCTTTGGAAAGTGAAGGGACATGTCATGCAGTGAGCCCATGAATGCAATCCCTGATTGAAATGTGACTTCTAAAAGTTTGAAAACACCTAACTATTTTCCCAGTGCATTGTCTGTTCTTATTTCAGAGCATGGAACCTGGCTTCTTCTAGTTGTCCTCCTCTGGGTCCTCTCCCACAAGAAAGCCAGGATCCTGTGTTTTTTTAGTCATTCACCAACCACACCTTCACAAACTCAAATCAACAACTATGTGCTCGAAAATCTTTGTCTTCCCTTTGAAACTGGACGCAAAAAAGAAATCTCTCCTGTCAGTGGAGACGGCTGTGAAGGACCGAGGAGCCTGAACATAAATCTCCTTGAATTTTTTAAAGAGCTGCTTCTCCTCATCCCACTGGTAGATCTGGGAGAACGTATAGTCACTCCCCAAGGCCAGGTAGTGATTATCTTTAAATGAAAAGGGCTGCAAGGTCATGGCCCCCCGGGAGGGGAGGGCCTGGACCTCCACAAACTGCTTACTATTCCACCTCATGACCCTGGAGTCCCCAATGAAGCGGGTGAGCGACAGGTAAAGATTGTTCTGCATCCGGAAGCTCTTCACAGCCAGCACGTCCTCCATGTTGGGGATGTCACTGTGAGGGACAAACTTCTTTGAGCTCTTGTTCCATTGGAGGATAATGGGAACCTGGGAGCGGCTGGACAGGATGAGATGCGACTTGCCATCTATATCCACAAACTCCGCATCTGTGTCCCGGAACCACTCGTGCAGAGACTGGTAGGAATAGAAGCCTTTGCTGTTCCACTTATACACTGTCGACAGTCCTGCCTTGGAGCTGTCTGCAATGACAAAGAACGTCTCATCCTCGATCTGAAACAGCTCAATGTCGTTGGGCTTGGAGATGCGAGAGACTTCTATGTCTTGGAACTTGACAAACTTGGTCCAGCTCTCATCGTATTTGTAAATGTGGGAGCCACCGAAGAGCTGGGCCACCACCACAAACACCTGGTCTTCAATGAGAATGGCCTTACAGCCCACGATGGATTGACCTGGACCCAAAAGAAAGGAAAAGGGGGGATCAGGGCTGTCCACTGGGACTCTGGAACCCAAGTGAACTGAGAAGAGAGAAATCTAATATGGTGCCACCTCGAAAAATTAAATGATTATCCCATGACCCAGGAATTCTACTTCTGGGTCTATAAACCCCAACACTGAAAAGTGGGGCCTCACGGAAATGTTTGTACCCCCATGTCCATGGCAGCCCGATTCGCAAGCACCAAAGTTGGAAGCCACCCAGTTGTCTGCTGGTGGAACAACTGCATCAAGGAAACATGGCGCGCACACAAAAGGCAACACTCCCTCACTAGGAAAGGAAAGAAATTCCAACACAAGCTCCAATATTAATGAATATCGGGGGGAACAACGCAAAGAGAAATGAAAAGCTAGGTACAGACCCCCCCCAAAAAAAGGACAAATAATGTCTAATTCTTTTTAAATGAGGTATCTAGAGTGGTCAGGTGCATAGAGACAGGAGGGAGGAGGGAGACAGTGTGTTTGGGAGTGAGAGGTGGGGCGCTGGCGTGTGGCTTCCATAAGGCCACTCCAACAATGCTCAGCCCTGTGGCTGTGGTGCTGTCCCCAGGGAACCCCTGGACCACCACATCCTTTAGAGTCAGGCAAGATGCGCTGTACTGGGGATCAAGCCATCTGGGCTCTCCTCACACTAGGAGCTGTTGGTGAGTGGGTCCAGAGTTCTAGGTTTTTGAGGATAAAGACTCCAGTGATTGGCTGCATGACAAATGTCAATGGAGTTAATACCACTGCAAAATGGTTAAGACAGTGTATTCAATATGATGTATTACTTCCCACAGCCTCTTTTTTTCCCCCACTGTAATGTGCATCCATAAAAACAGGTCAGTGCCAGTCACCTGGGCCTCTGGCATCTTCAGAGGCAGATGGACCATTTGGGGAACTCACACACCAAATGAAATGCTATTCAGAAAAGTATTTCCAAGGCCACAGGACAGAAGGAGGCAATTAAAAGGGCCTCTTCTCTCCGGAGCACGGGAAGGCTGGGAGGCAGGAGGGAGTCAGGTTTCAAAGCAGAAGTAAAACAACCAGGTGGGGGATGGTGAAACATTTGGCCTCTTACGGCTTCCAGAGAGGGCCAGAGGAGGGTCAACTCGGACTCTAGATCTGGTGGTCTGAGGTTTAAAAGTGCAGCCCCACTTAGGATACAGGAGGAACCAACATGGCAATAATAGTGGGGAATGATCATTTTGAACAAGAACCGAGTGTTGAAACCTTTCAGTATCTGTACTGCAAACTATAAGGCCCAAAAGGAAGGGGGGGAGAGAGAGAGAGACAGAGACAGAGACAGAGACAGAGACAGAGACAGAGAGACAGAGTCAGAAACAGAGACAGAGAGAGAAAAAGAGAGAAACAGACAGAGACAGAGAGACAGAGTCAGAAACAGAGAGAGAGAGAGAGAGAGAGAGTATCTGCCATAGTGGTGAGGATGGGGTAGGGGACAGGAGGAATATTGGGGGATACTGCACGGGTCAGTGGTGGGAAACGTACACTAGTGAAGGGACGGGTGTTGAAACATTATATGATGAAATCCAATCACGAACAACTTTGTTAATTTGTATATCACTGTGATTCAATAAAAATAAGTAGTTTTTTTTAAAAAAATGCAATCCCACCCCAGTAAATCAGATGATGCTACGCTCAGACTCCCATCTACACAGTCAGACATTGCTTGGCGGCCTGGGAGTCCCTTCCAGGCTGCGGGCATGAAGAGAAGGTGCTCACGCATTGTGCTCCCTGGCACAGCAACTCCTGGGCTCACATCGGGCCAGCGGTTGACCCGACTGCCTCTGTGCGGGTTGGGATCATAGACCGACACAGGGGCTGCGTTCAGCCTGCACTGCACAGGACTGTTGCAAAGCCTCATAAAGGCGGTCAAGCTCGGGGGGCTTGCTGTACAGCGCATGTGCACACGAGAAGCCTGTCCATCATGACTGAGCACGGTAGCTAAGCTATGGGAAACTGAAGCAAGTGCCATGGCCATCACAAGACCCAGCCCAGAACCGCACCTCTGAAACAGCTGTGCAATGATCTGGCTTAGGCAACATAAAACCAGAACTTTGTGAGAAAAGTTGGGGTTGTTTTCCTTCATGACGCTTCTCGGGGCTACCTCCTGGCCTCCTCTCCCACTCTGCACCCGTTAGCCGGCCCCCCACCCCCCACCCCTCACCCCTCACCCCCATTCCTCGATCCACTCAGCCAGCAATAGCACAACTCATATCCCAAGGAGAACTGACCCTCCATCTAGATCATCCCATTAAAAGTGACTGTTCTCCCTTAATTTTCTGGGCAATTTGGACCAAAGTGAATTTGGTCTGTAAATTATAAGGATAATTACCCAATTTCTGTGCCTGGTATTAACTTTGAGGGCAGGTAGTGGGTGGTTTTTTCAGAATAGTTATTTACTTTTCTCTTTCACTTCTTTGACCTTCTTGCAAGAACCTGGCCCCTGTTCTTTGTTTAAAACCCATGTGCATATTTTTTTCTGAGACCAAAAATTATAAATTTTCCCCCAAAACAAACTTTGAAAATAATGAGAGGTAACACTTTCAAAGTGTGGACATGATATTTGTCTTTTGAATCCTTACACAACTGTAACAGACAGGCACGATGAGACCCATCCCATTTCATAAAGGGTGAAGTCAATCTCAGGGACAAAATTGAACAGAAAAAAGTCATACATCCTCTAGGAGGTGTTGGCGCCTGGAACTCCAGCCCTGACTACGTGGCTGCAGACTACTCTCCTCCGAAGTACTGAAAATTAAAATAACTCTTGCTGCAAATGTTGACATAATGCTGGAGATATTGATGGTTTTGTTTCATCTCTAGTAAGTACATGTGCAAACAGACTTTACAAAGATAAATCTGGGCTTTCAGACCTACACTTTTTTTTATTACTCTTGGGTGTTCACCATAATTGTGAACATTTGCCCGTGTTATCACATCTTCTACAACTTGAATTCTTTGGGGCCCATATATAGCAGTGCTCAGGGATTTCTCCTGGCTCTGTGCTCAGCGATCACTCATGGTTCAATGCTCCGCTATCACTCCTGGCAGTACCGGGCAGGCCCCTGGGGTTGAAGCCATGAACTCAGGTCAGCCATACAAGGTAAGCATCTTATCCATGATATACACTCTTTGCCTTCTATAATTTCAACTCTTATGTTATATTTGCTTGTTAAAGACTTTTTTTTTCTTTTTGGGTCACACCTGGCGACGCACAGGGGTTACTCCTGGTTCTGCACTCAGGAATCAGCCCGGGCAGTGCTCAGGGGACCATATGGGATGCTGGGAATCGAACCTGGGTTGGCCGCGTGCAAGGCAAACGCCCTACCCGCTGTGCTATTGCTCCAGCCCCTATATTTGCTTGTTTGTTTTGATTCAGGTGACCACACGTAGCAGTGTCCAGAGGCCACTCCCAGCTCACTACTTGAACTGGCTCCTGCTGCTGTTCCAGAGACAAACTGGTGCCACACAAAGCATGGACTCCTGCCCTCAGTGCTCTCTGCAACCCACGACTTGAATGTTTCATAGCACCCCATGCAGCGTACCCTGGAACTGTGAGGGTTTGAATTCACGGATACACTGACATGAAGGTAATTTCCAGTAAATATGATGGGTCCTTCTTACCTCAAACTTTGGGATTCACAGACTAAGCCAACCTTGGATCAGGTTGGTTGAATCCATGGGTACATAAACCATGGATACAGGGGGTCAGCTTTGTGTTTGCAGATCGCTATCTCGGAAACGCCCTTCTTCCTTCTCTACATGAGGACTGACCTCACAGTCCTCAGGTCCGACTCAAATAACATTTTCCTTAGGCCCATATGTGCAAGTGCTAAAATTTCAATCCTTCCTCACCTCCTCCTTCAAACCTTCCTGCCTGCCTTTGTTTTCCTTCTTAGCTTGCTTTTATCCAAATGCATTAGATCATTTACCACTGTTTGCTTCTCTCTCTCTCTCTCTCTCTCTCTCTCTCTCTCTCTCTCTCTCTCTCCCATTCTAATGACAACTACTGGAAGCCAGAGGTTTTGACCTGGCTTGCTTATTGCCATGGCACAAGCACCTAGATGATGTTAGTTATATGAGCTCCAGAAATCTCCAGAAAGGGGCTGGAGAGATAGTACAGGATGTAGGTAAGACTCCTTCCTGCTTTGCAATGTGGCTGACCTCAGTTCAGTCTCCACATTTGGTCCCCTGAGGACTGTCAGGAGTGATTCCAGAGCTCAAAGACAGGAGTAAGCCCTGGGCGCCACTGAGTGTGGCCCCAAAATGAAAAAGAGGTAGAAAAATGAAGGGAATGGAAGAAACAGGAAAGGAAAGAAATGAAAGGAAAGGAATGGAAATGGCAAATGAGTGGGGAAGGGAAGGGAAGGGAAGGGAAGGGAAGGGAAGGGAAGGGAAGGAGGGAATGGATGGAAGGGAAGGGATGGAAAGAGAAGGTAAGGGAAAGGAAGGGGAGGGGTGGGAAGGGGAACAGGGAGGGGAACAGGAAGGGGAAGAAGAAGGGAAGGGGAGGTAAGGGGAGGGGAGAGGGAGGAGGGTGAGGGGAGGGAAGAGAGGGATGGAGGGGAGTGGAGGGAGGGGAAAGGGATGTTTGAGAATGAAGGAATGGTTACAATGTCATTCTCAAGGGGACGGCCAGCTGCTAGAGACTGAGGCAGTACTGCAGCCGGGTACCACCAGGTTCCACAAGCAGGGGAAGGGCTGGGAAGCAGCAGGGCCAGAGCCCAGGCCCCTCCCCCTGAGCCTCCACCCCGCCTGAGAAGTGTCCCAAGTGCGGGCCTTGCTCTGTGTCACAGCATCCTCTCCACACTCGCCCTGCCAGTGGTCCCTTTCACAGACTCTGGAGCCGATCGGAAGTTGGTTGAAGCCTGGCCCAGCTGCCGCGTCAGGACTCCAGCTCACGCTCCGGGTCTGCCAGGTGGAAACCCTGAGGCTCGGGGGCAGCGTCTCTCCTGAGCACCACATGGGACGGTGGTGAACTTCCAGAGACACAGCGGCGCCTGGAACAGGCCCAGCAAACGCCAAACTAGGCCCAGCAACAAGCAGCAGCAGCAGCAGCAGCAAGGGTCTGATACAAAAGCACCGCCCCCAGCCCACCCACGCTGCCACTCCCCCCAGGGCCGGCTCCGCCCATCTCTAACACAGAGCAAGTGAACTCGCTGTGCAGGTGGACCGCGAGGCACTTCGCTGCCTCCTCCTTTAACGGGTTAGGATCCCCGGACTCCGGACTCCGGAAAGGCACCTGAATCCACACCTGAGCGCGCAGGGACGCTTGGGCCTGTGCACTCAGCGCCAGGGGACTGGCTGGCGGGACAGCAAGAGCGTGTCCCTGCAAAGGGCATCTCGGGAGCCTCCAGTGTTCTTGCACCAGGCTCGAAGCAGCCTGGCTCCTGGCAGGGTGAGACGCCGCTCTCGCGACGGTCTCTGGGCATCCCCACCTCCCTACACCTGCTGCAGGAACACTTGTTCCTGAGAGACTCCTGGGGGCCTCCCCAGCAGGACATTCCACCAAGGTCCGCTCCTCACTGCAATAGCAAAACATTGGGGACTTCTCTAGTTCCCATCAATAAGTATGGGGGAGGGGGGTAGGAGGGAGGAGGAGGAGAGGCAGAGTTGGGGAGATGAGTAAGAGGAAAAACTAGCAAACATAGAATCTGCTTTCAGAACAAGGAACCATTGGCAGAAGTGAAAGGAGGATAAATCCAATCTTATTCCAAAGAACAGAATTTAGGGTGCCACTTATTCTTTTTTGTTGTGGCGGGGTTTGTTGGGGGTGGAGGAGCTCTTAGCAATTCTCAGCCAACTGGGCTGGCAGTTCAATAAAGGGTCTTGGGATGGGGTTCTGCAGTGCTGAAGTCTGCCTGGGTGACCCCACCAGTGGTCAGGGGCATCCAAAACCACACCCAGCAAGACTGGAAAGGCCACACAGGAGGAAGCACTGTCCTATCTTTCTGGCCCAAACTTATTTTTCCTTCATGCATACTCCTTGAAACAGTAGTGGCCACTGCACTACTGCAGGGGGCAACAGGAACAAGTCAGAGAGAGAACGTGTGTGTGTGTGTGTGTGTGTGTGTGTATGTGAGTCTGTGGGTCCACGTATGTGTGCACATGTGCCTATGTATGCACATGTACACATACACACATGTTTGTAGGCGTACACAATCAGATTAGCATTTAAGTTACCGATGAACTTAACAAAGGCAAAGGTTTAGCTGCAATAAAGCAGGTGCAGTCTTGGGTTGCCATAACTGCTCTTGATCAGGGATGTGACTTCTTCCCACGTCTGGAAAATGCCTCCCAGCGCATACACCTGCCCCCACCTCCCCCTTTTCATTGCCAGCAACACAGAGATCCACACGGGCATTTTTCTTCTATTCTTACCAAAGTCTGGCCATGTCGAGAGAAAATCAGAGATGAGGAGGGCTGGGCTGTGTGTCCCAACACTGACCAAGCCAGGAAGCCAGACCGTCCCTTCTCTCTCTCAGTCTGGGGCCTGAGACTCACACTGAAATATGATTCCCCACCCTTGCCTCAGCCTCACCCACCTGTGATGTTGTCATAGCTGCGGAAGTTCATCTCGATGTGGTCCCACTCCAGGACCATACAGTTCTGCATGCTGGGCTGGGCGATGGTCACGTACACATCATTCTTGGAGTTAAACGTGTCCACCGACACCGACTGGTAGGGCAGAGTCTGGTGAACAACAAAATCTGCAGATGGGTGTTTTAAAAGAGTGTGAGTTGAGCTGGCTGGTGGAAATTCTTACATTATCCTTCTATCCTTTGGAATCCATACCCCTAGCCCTGGGGAGGGGGCAGGCAGAGATGTCTGAATCTAGGAGATGGCAGGATGATGCTCTGGCTGCTAAAATGGCTTCCTGAGGTGGGCCAAAGGCTTGTCAAGCTCTCACCCACTTTGGGGAGTCCCGGCTTTCAAATAGGCAAGGCAGAAAGAATACCATAAGGCAACATTTCTGAAGTGGCATGACAGTAACATTGCACCAAAGGGCAGCTGGAGTTAAAGCCAGAGCTTGGTGGAGAATGTAAAATTTTACCAAGGATGAGGGCTGAAATGCAAGGACGGTTGGCATAGGAGAAGCTAGAGAACTACTGAAAAAGAAACTTTTAGAAGTTTTAATCAAGTTCATGGTGTGTTTGATTGATTTTTTTATGTTTAGGCGGTATTTTGTCGGGGGAGGGAGGCAACTGGTGCTCGGTGGGTGCAGGGACCATTCCTGGCAGTTCTCAGCCAATCCAGCAACTCAGCTGCTCAGTCCTGTACTATATTCTGGCTCCTGCATTATAACTTTGGCCAGAGATGCTGCTGAGATCAAAGTCTCTGGGCAGGACAAAATGACAGGCTGGGTCAGGGAGTCATTGCTAAGAAGACAACCAGGTTTGTGCCTTCTTATTTCAGCCACTCAAGCCCCACCTCCTCTATTGAGCCTTTCCCGACCACTGAAAGACACTGGCTCTTGGCTCACTTGCTAGACTTGTAAATAGACACGCTAGACTCCGTGGCTTACATCTTATCCTTCACTACAGCCAAATCTCTGGCGTCGCAATATTGGGGTGTGATTTGGAGAGAGGGGAGTTGAGCCTCTGCACCCTGGCCACTGCCAAGTAAAAGACAGGAGGGTAGGGAACCTCTGTGCCAATAGCAGGTGAGCATGATGTGCACCCCAACAAGAGGAGGACACCCAGGAGAGTGGCCGGTTCTGAGGCATGAGAGATTGGGTGCTGGGACCTTAAGCAAAAAATGCGAGCGTCAGTGACAGGAGGAAGATGAGTTTCACCAGATTGCTATGGAGAATGAATCTGTGAGCATGTGTCTGTGTGATCACTGACCCCTATCCGGGAAGACACAGGACAAACTCAAACTGCCTGGGTAGATAAATGGTTCCAACCCTCCCCCATACTCCTAAGCCTCCCCAAATATCAGCCTGGCTCCATCATACTTCATACTAGACTAAAACGCACTAGATGTCTAAATTCTGCTTTTTCCTTTTGGCAGAGCCCATGGTGATGTTGGAATGTGCTTATGCCCTCCTCCAGGACCTGCAAAGTAAGAGGGAAAAAAAGGGATGCAGCGGCAAGCACTGAGCACTGTTGCCTCTTCTGGAGATGCACAAGGGCTCGAAGCAGCTCTTCTCGCGACCACCAGCTGCTGACACCGCCACCAGCTTTTTCTCATGCGGGACAGCCGAGGGTCCCGGGCATTCCTGCCCTCTCCCTCGTTCCCCAGCTGCACCTTCAGCTTCAGAAACATGAGTCCCAAAGCATGGGCCATTTCAAGTGCAGACTAAAAAGTTTCCATTCTTGATAAAGAATTCCAGGATGAAAAAAAGAGCACCGCCAAAGAAAAGCACGCCTGGAATGGACCCCAGCCCGCTTCTTTCCCCAAACGCTGCTCTCGCGATATTGTCGACAGCCCAACTCCCGAGCACTTAACGCGGTCCGAAGTTACATCACTTGATTGATGATCTGAGTCTTAATAGGCGATGCCTCCCCTCCTCTCACTGCACTGCCTCCCAAAAAAGAGGAAGAGGAGGAGGAGGAGGCAGAGAATAAAAAGAGGAAGAAAAGGAGATAACAAGATGATTTCAAAATGATTTCAAAAGGAGATAACAAAGTGATTCTGTATATGAAAGCGGGAGGGGGGAGTGAGGGGGAGAAAATTTAAATATCTTTCCCCCCCAAAAAAATTTTAAGGGAGAGCAGAGAGATAGTACAGTGGGTTCAGGTGCTTTCCTTGCATGCAGCCAACCCAGGTTCCTGGGTTGAATCTTCAGCACCCCACACTGTCCTCTAAACTCTCCAGGAGTAAGCCCTGAGCACAGTCAGGTGTGGCTCCAAAAAAAAAAAAACAAAAAAAGAAAATAAAAATTAATGACTTCTCTCATCCCCATTTTATTTTTTTTCTTTCTCTAAAGCAAATCCTTTGCAGAAAGCTCCCCAAAGTGACATCAATTTACTGGCATTTGAGCACCAATGGTACCCGCGCTGGGGATCACGGCCACGGCCGCTCACACAGGATGCGGTTCATGATGTCAGTGGGACTCTTCCCATCTAGGCCTCACTCCCACTGAAATCAAGAGATTTCTACGTGTGCTATTTATAGCACTTGCAGAAAATAAATTATACATGATGCCAATCCTACGGGGAGAGGAACTGCACGTTAATGCATTCTTTCTCTTTGCATTTTCATCAGCCCCGAAACAGGGAAAGCTAACAGGACAATTAGGATGCAAAATTCGCTCCCTCGGAGGAATTTAGCGAATTATCCACCTAACACGAGGAATCATGAGTAGGTAACAGGGATTTTTGAGGTGGTTAAAAAAAGACTTGAAGCCCAGGGTTACAGGAGGGCTGTGATTAAATCTGGAGAGCTAGCCTGCCCAGTGGAGCTTTGGGTGTTAATTACACCCCAGTGGCAGATCCAGAGAGGTGCTAGTCACCTCCCCTTCCTGCTCCGGAAGAAGTCTTCCTTCCCGGAAATCTGAGTTGTGAGGTCAAGAATCTACTCAGTAAAGGGGACTTCTCCCCAACCCCCGACCCCATACACACACTGAGGGGACCGAAGAGCGTGTGACTCTCACAGCTCCATCTTGGTAGAGCCTCCCTTGCCTGCCCCCCACCTTTCATAAATTACCAGGCATGAGATTTGATCTGAACAGAAGACTGGAGCCCTCCCCCCTGAAAATACTTCACCTCTGACTGGCCTGGTTCTTACCAGGAGGACCCAATTTGGACATGCCATGTTTTCTGAAACCTTGGCAAAAACCAACAAGGGAAGCAATGAGGAGAGGGCTCAGCTGTGCGGGTGTCTTGAGCACTAATGACAGGAAAGGCAAAGCCTGGTGTCTCTTTCCGGAGGGACATGGACTTGCCCAATTTTAGTGGCGAGCTCAGTAGACATGCTAGAAAGAACAAGCATCCCTGGCATTTCTGAGATGGGGACGGGTTGCAGGACCCAACTACTTTAGTTCAAGCTGCTTCGTCCCTATGGCAATGCTTAGAGCCCGGATTTCATTCATGGGCATCGCAGGGCAGCTGATGGGTCAGAGATCTCTGAAGAGAGAGAGAGAGGGAGGGAGAGAGAGAGAGAGAGATAGAGAAGGAGAGAGAGAGAGAGAGAGAGAGAGAGAGAGAGAGAAGAAAAGTGCCTGCCATGGAGGCAGGCTGCTGAAAGTGGAGGGGATTAGCAGGAAGGAAACTGGAGACAGTGGTAGTGGGAAATGTAGACAGGTGAAGGGACAGGTGGGTGTTTTGGTACATTGTATGACTGAAACCCAGTCATGAACAACTTCATAACTGTGTATCTCAGGGTGATTCAATTTAAATAATAATAATAATAATAAATCCCTAGACACAATCATGCTTTCGCATATAAATTCTCCCCACTGCCCACAGCCTGCTACAGCCTGTGCCATTTTGCCCATTCATTGGCAATTAATCCACGCACTGGGGCCAGGTATGAAAACACAATGGAAATGTCTCTCTCTTCACTTTGGGGTTTGGAGGACTCTCCAGAAAAACTACAGAAACAGCAAAGGGAAGCTTCCAGGGAGCTTGGGTTAAGCGTTTCATGCCAAATGGCCTTGAATGCCACCCTTTGGTGTAAATGTCATTGGCTATGACCTACGATACACTGCACTGCTCTGAAATACAATAAATCACCTCTGAGTGGCCACGCAGGCCAAAGGGCACCTGCCAATTACACAGTTGAGTGAGCCCCTGTTCACTGATGAAGGACAAGGGCCTGGCCACAGAGGTGAGGTCCCTATCAGAAAGGAAGAGACTTGGCAGAGTCCCTTGTTTATCTAGAAGTCATTATTACTGAGTTGGGTTTTATTCATTTGCGGGCTTGAAGAGCCCTGGCCAGTGAGTGACATTGTGTTCTGGGTGGTTTTCATTTTTTGGTCTTTTCCATTTTCTGTAACTATTTTCTGAATTCTCCTTCCTGCTGCGGCTACAGACAGACACGCCTCGGGGCTTTGCAGATACCAACTCACAGCCTACATGTTTATTTTTCTAAGTCTGGTAAGCAATCTTCATACTAGGGACTGATCCTCTCCCTTTTACAATCTGGCTTTAGAAGCTCTAGAAACTATCTCGGTTTTCATCTGGAATCATCCCCAGCCCCTGCTCTCTATCAGATGTGGCTGGTGAGGCAGTCAGCATTTTAATTTTTTAGCTTTAAACCCTGAAAAACAAACTGAACTCGTAGGCACTGGAAAACCAAATCAAACTTTCAGTACATTTTTCCCCCCTTAACGTGAATTTCTCTTTTGACAACTTGTGAGGGTGCATTTCTACTTTGCCATTGGGTATATTTTACCTAGTCGGCTCTTTCTATGTGGTACTGCAAAAGCAATTTCTGGGTTTTAAATTTTGGCCTTTATTCATGGAAGTGTCAATACATTTTATTTCCAATCAAGAGAAAGTGTCAACAGTAGTTCAAGAAATAGTGATCTAAGTCTGTTCTCGCACTAACTTGCAGGAACCCTCATCTAATTTGGAAATATTCTTATACCAATCCCACTACTTTATGCTTGAATCTTTTCTAAACAAAACTTTTAAAAGAAATTGGAATTGTGTAAAGAATAAATTTTAAGATTAATGCACTCAACAAAAACTTTTCAAAATGTTGAAATATTTTTCTTACCACATTTCTTATTGTAAAGTGTTTTGATTTCCTCTGAAATAATTTGGAATAGTTTTTGACCTATTTTTCCTACTCTTTGGTGAGGGGTTATTCTACTATCTAGTCTTTGGAGAGAGAGGTTCTCAATACCTGTAGTTGTACATTCATAGTCAAAGCTGGTCACATCATTTAGCTTCTTTTCGTGATATTCTGGGGGTCCAATACAGAGTATATCCGAGACTGTAGAATTTGTCATCTTCAGCCACAGATACAACCACTTGGCTTTGCAGTCACACTCAAATTTATTGCCCCTTAAATCTCTGAAAAGGCAAAATCAAAACACATACTCAGAGAAACACATTTGCCTGGCAAGAATTAGTAATAATGGGAACTATTAACATCCTGATACATGTGATACCCACAACAAATGGAATGAAAAAGCTTTTGCACTTTCTACAACTCAATTATTGTATATATCACCGACTTTATTTCATGATCTTCAGTGCCCATAATTTTAAGTGTCTGGCATACAGAGGTCTGACACACACCATCTGCCCAAGTCCTCTGAAAGTTATCCCCATGCCATATTGGGAATGGGGAAGGGATGAGAGAAGAAAGTCACCACCCAACACAATTTCCCAAACAGTATAGGGACGTTATCAGAAGAGCCTCCACAAGCACAATCAAAATGTTGACTAAGATCTGGTTAAACTACATCAGAAAGAAGTGAAAGTCATTAGACAAAAAATAAAGTAGTCCCTGCTACTCCTAAGAGTATTCTAAAAAGGCAAAATACAACACCATACAAACTCCATGCTGTTTCCCAGTGTGCGCTACTATTTTGTCAAGGATTTTCTGCTACAACACACATACACACTACATACACACACACACACACACACACACACACACACACACACACACACACTTCAGTAAAGAGGAGTAGATAGAAAGACACAGGGGCACAATGACAAGTATGCCCACACTTGATTTTCATTACTTACAGTTCAATCAGAGAGTCTAAATCACTGAAGACATCCCTCGGGAGTGCTTTTATATGGTTATTGGCCAAAGAACTAGGACAAGAAAGTCACATTATAACGTGGTTATTATCTTCACACCCTGTTATCCCAACGTCCCTTTAGTAAAGCTAATGATTTAAAGCGGAACTCAAAACCTCTTTAGCACATAACCTTCAATTCCTGGCTTTGATTATTGATATGGAGCAAAAGAAATGAGCTTACTTACACAAAGTGAATCCAAATATTAGGTAATAGATGCAGGAATACAATGTAGGTATGGTTTGGCCTTTATTTCTTTATTTTTAAATGTTTTTTATTGAGGTTCTCTGATTTATAATACTGTTAATGGTGGTTTCCCATGCATATAATTTCAATATGCTTTTATTTTTAAAATAAGCATTTATTTCAAGCTCTTTGCATATCTTCATTAAAACTCAGATGGCATTCCACTAGCCTCGGAATAAAAGTCAATGGGACCGGATCTCAGCTTCCTCACTGGTCTCTTTTTCTCCTGCAGGCCTGGCCCACACCCACCTTCAGGCTTCTCAACGTGCTGCTAATGCCTGGGACTCTCTGCCCCTAAAATCCTCCCACTCGCTCTCCTGCCTGTTCTTCAACTACCATCACCTCCCTCACTTCCATACATCTCCCTTCTTCACTCGGCTGGTCATCACAGCAGAAACATCATCTTGCATTTTTTGTATTGTAATTATATAATGATTTATCGGCATGTATTCTTCCTACACCTATGCAACATGAGGACATAAATATTTGTCTGTTTACAACTGTTTCCCCAAATCCTAGAACAGAGCTTGGCGGAGTAGCACTCACTTAATCTTTGTGAATGAAGCACTAAGATGAGAAATGGTTATAAAGTGAAAAATGCATCCTTATCGCAAGAAATCCCCAGATGATCCTCTAAGTGAATTTTCATTACTTATGACTTCACAATACTTATTTTATTACTTATGACTTCACAATAAAGCCTCAGCCCAAATGTTTACGAGAATATACAATCTCAGTGAACCACAATAGTAGAGTCACAATTGATGAGTGGATCAATTTCATTTTCCCATTGGCAAAGGTTGACCAGAAACCACATTTGCATTTTAGTCATAAAGTTGAAGATCTTTACAAACTTCACTCATCTACTCTATATCTTCAGTAAGGAGATTTGAATGAACACCATCAAGTCTTCCATCAACGAGTCGGGATTTTTCAATGCCCTCATTCTCCCACTGAAGAAAAAGCAAGGTGGAGGACCGTTGATGCAGAAAAATGCTGGGGTCGAGATGAAGTGTATTAAGTCTGTGATTTCCCCAGGGCTCCTGTACTAAAATGTGAGTCAGAAAAACAACTAAGCCTACCCTCACTTCCTTTTATACATTAGTATAACAGTAAACATAAGTAAATGTAAGTATGTTGGCATTGAGCACCAATCTCTGTAGAAATATATATAAAATTAGTCTTAAACCATATTGACCCATCCCATAAAAATGCTTTAATCTTTCTGGAATGATCTGAATTATGTTGCTTCAAGATACTGACAGAACCTTAGGGAGATTCCCTAGTGTCTGAATGATACCCCCTAGGTAACTATAAATAAATGTAAATACATTTATAGTCATACATTATAGTTACCTACTAGGTAACTATACATAAATGTAAATACAATTTTGTGTATTATTTTACTTTTCTTTCCCAGATCATTTATTTATACATTTTTTAAGATGTTGAAAAATAAGTTGAATATGATACTTGCCAAATATTCCCTAGAAGCTGCTTTTTGAAATTAAAAAAATGGGGTTTTGATTGGAATTTGCATACTTTCCCATCCCCATCCCATATTAATGGTAACTTTTTACAGATGACAAGAAAAAAAAATAGCTGAAAGCTAAATATTCGGCTAAAAATTGCAGCTACTTGCATGTGCTATGAGGACATGGTAAGAATATACAGATTGGTTATGGTCCAAGAAACACAGAAACTTCAACCACCATTTCAAGTATTCATTTTAGATTTCAGGAAGCCAAACAATTTAGATAGGCACTCCACCCCACTCACCTCTGTGCCTAAATGTCTCACTTTCCACTTTATTTTGTCTACAAATTCATGACACTTATTTTATTCTTGAAAGTATTTAACAGCAACAGTCCATGGGGTTTTAGAGAATGGGGTAAAAGTTCTAGATTTTAGTTCCATGTAAAAGTCCTAGATTTTAGTTCCACGTTAGCTTTAGTTTCAGGTTGCTTTGAAACCTGATGTAGGTTTCCTGATGCCTGAATGTGAGTCTAGAAAGTGTTGGAAAGTTCACAAAAAGATAAAAATCAGATACTTCATTCATACAAGCAAATGCAAAAAAAAAAAAATGAGCTTCTTGAGCACAGAAAGGAACTTAGAGAAAACCAGTATGTTCTCTCTTAGTTTCCCCAAAGTGGGAAGGTGGGAGGAAGGGTCCATTCTCTGAAAAATGAATGAAATGCTTTAATTCCCACATCCATCTCCAGCCTTGAGGAGTCAACTTTCAAATCACATGTCTTGCCCAAAAGTAGAACACAACTGGAAAATCGAGCTCAATTAGGGGCCTGTCAGTCAATGTACTGGAAAGGATGGCTTGCTGGCTCACCGGCCATTTCTCCAGACCCCAAGCAATTCCACCAGGGCACGTCAGATGGAGCGGGTGTTCCCTCTCCATCCACTCTAAATGAACCTTCAGTGGCCACAAACTTCCAGAAGAAAAACCCAGGTACATGGGATCAGGGACTGAAGACTCCAGGCCACATGGTGGCAGCGGAAATGGGCTATCCCTTCCAGTCTTCCCACCTTTACCCTTCAGGGTCCTGGCTGTCACACCCACAAACTGCCTCCAGGCACCATCTCAGTGCATTAACAGTCTTGATCCAGAGACTCACAAATGAATCTCAAAATGGATTAGCTCCCTACAGGGATGCCTCTGGACATCCAATCATTTACAATTTTATAATTCCAGAAGCAACTTCTCATTATATTCATAATAAGCAATTCACTGTCACTGTCACTGTCCTCCCGTTGTTCATTGATTTGCTCGAGCGGGCCCAGTAACATCTCCATTGGAGACTTTGTTGTAACTGTGTTTGGCATATCGAATACATCACAGGGAGCTTGCCAGGCTCTGCCGTGAGGGCGAGATACACTCGGTAGCTTGCTGGGCTCTCCGAGAGGGGCGGAGGAATTGAACTCAAATCGGCCATGTTGGCTGCATGTAAGGCAAACGCCTTACCGCTGTGCTATCTCTCCAGCCCAATAGAAAATAAATTTATCTAGCATCTGCCTGTGGCAGGCAGGCTTGAATGGTGATGGAAAAATTTTAAATAATGGTGTTGGGAAGGTATAATGGTGGTGGGATTGGTGTTGAAAGATTCAATGTAATCAATGAATGTGAACAACCTTATGAAAATAAAATTTAAAAATTAAAAAAAAAAGAATACTTGCTGGTTTAGCCCTGGGATGGGCACTGGGAGAAGAGCAGAGCTAAAGGAAAGCACACGGGCCTGCCCTCAGGGAGCTTCAAGCCTGCTGGGGACAAAACTTGCATGCATGCAATAGTACCATCCTGATTATATCTAGAGAAAAGCATCTGGCATGTGTGACATCAACAGGGAGTCTCCAGGAAGGGAGGGGGCGGGGATCAGGGATGGCTGCAAGGGGGAAAGAGAACTGAATCTGGACACTGAATTGGGAGATGTGAGCCCAGGAAACAGCATCGGGGAAAGGGAAAGAAGGCAGGAAGGCCAGGTGCTGGAGAAAGAGCACAGGAGGGAGGGTGCTTGCCTCACACGTGGCCAACCCAGGTTCGATCCCCGGAATTCCACTTATGGTCTCCTGAGCATTGCCAGGACTAATTCATGAGTGCAGATCCAGAAGTAAGCCCCGAGCATCGCTGGGTGTGGCCCCAAAATTATAAGTAAATAAATCACTGTCACTGTCACTGTCCTGCCGTTGTTCATCGATTTGCTCGAACGGGCCTAGTAACATTGTGAGACTTGTTACTGTGTTTGGCATATCGAATACGTCACGGGGAGCTTGCCAGGCTTTGCCGTGTGGGCGAGATACTCTCCCTAGATTGCCGGGCTCTCTGAGAGGGGCGAAGGAATCTAACTCGGGTCGGTCATGTTGGCAGCATGCAAGGCAAGTGCCCTACCGCTGTGCTATCGCAAATAAATAAATAAAATAAGGGGGGAACACCTACAATGGAATGAGATGGTATGCACAGGGATGGCAGAAAGCTCAGGGTTCTGAAACCATCTAGAGAAATAGGCTGGAGAACTAGAGGGTGAGGGAGGGGCCAGTAGGTGTGAGCCTAGTAGGATTCACTAGGACAACCAGATGAGCTATAATGAAAGCCTTCTGTGCCCCCAACACACTCGGACCCCAAGCACAGGGCTCTATGTTCCTTCTGTTTGAGCTCCCTCACAGAAAGGTGGGTCTCCTACACTCAGACACAGGAGACATCTGGATGGTGGTGTATGCAATGCACAGGCATGCACACACACAAAATGGGCACAACAGCATGAGCATGTGGGCACAATACTAGCAAATATGCATGTACAACCCAAATGATCATGCCCAGTCTCAGGTGCCAAAGGACCTTAGTCATTCAGTCCAAAGCAAGTTGCCAACCTGGCTAACCCCGTCACATGGTTGTGCCACCAGGTAAATCAATCACCTGCACCCTTTGTTCAGAACCGTAGACTCTCCTTCCTGACTCTGAGAATGGGATTCGTCTCTCCAGATATACACGGCTGTCTTCTTAGCAGATCCTGCCTTGCCACCCAAACCTCCAGGGGTACCCAGCAGTTCATAAAAAAAAGTTGAGAACACGTGGAGGGAGGGGATGCTATTGTTCTTTCAGCTGCTCCTATATGGACAAGGGTGACAGCAGCACTAACCACACCTGAGCAGAGGTCATGGCTGATGGGCTGGATACTTTGCAAGCAGGCAGGAGGCTACCCCATGCAGCAATCCTGTGAGTTGAGGACAACCGTCCTTCTTTTAAGGATGAGGAGACTAAGACCCAAAATGACTCAGCAATCTAAACAAATGATGGCTAGGAGAGCCATAAATGCGGGTCAACGGGACTCTGGTGAAAATCCTTGACCTCTCTAAGAGAATGTGGGGATGTGCGTCGAGGGTGAAGCTGAGATGTCAGCAAGGCTTCAGTGAGAAGCGAGACAGCCAGAGCCATGAGGCCAGTGGGAGTCTGTTGCTCTCTGGGACCGCAGGTGCTGCTCTCCGTGTTTCCAATTCCGTTTTGACGGAACACAGGCCGACAAGGGAGACCCAAATACAGACTGTCTCTTGAGCAAATGGGACTGGGCTCCTGACTCATAAATTGTCCCTGGCTCATCAATCCTACCAATTTTCGCATTTTCATAAACACGAACGCTAGTTTCTCCAGTTTTCTAAATTGGCTAAGTGTATGTACTTGCTTCATCCTGATATGACAATTCAAATCAATTTGTTTCAACTTTTTTTTCCTCCAGAAAGCTATTAAAGAACCCAGAGAGCTTATCTTAAGCTGTAGATTAATCCAACATAAAAGCGGGGTTGTGGGGAGGGGGGAAGCTATTTGCATTCAAATGAGAGAAAACACCTAAAAAATGTCTCTATTCCATTTTGTCCTGATTGTGACCCTATGTTCAGGATTTGGCAATGAGTCTAGCAAGCTTCACTCTCCAAATCTGTTTAGCAAAGAAAATATAGGGGCCAGAGCGATAGTGCAGCAGGTAGGGCATTTCTCTTGTATTCAATCCTCAAGCACTGCCAGGAGTAATTACTGAGTGCAGAGATACGAGTAACCCCTGAGCATCATTGGGTGTGACCCAAATGGCAAAAAAAAATGAGGGTGCACATTTGATTCTGTAAGATAGAGAGGGGGAAGTACAGGAAGCCCATTCCTGCACACAGCAGGAGTTTCCTTCCCACCTCCTCAAAGCCCCAGACACTTGGCCCTCACCGAGCAGAGAGATTCCTGGATCACATGCGTTCTGTGGTCCAAACAGCATTTCACAATGGTGGAAAATATAATAAAGCGAGTGGTCACAACCATGAAGCAGCTGATATTTGGCTCAGTAATGCACTGTATGTACAAAAGCTCCCCGCTAGGATTCAGCATCCCATCTCCGAGGGCAGCAGGCTGTACTGATAAAGTCACTACGCTCACAGTCTATGGCATTCACAGCCCCTAATGACACATTTCTCAGACCCTATCCCCATCTCCCAAGCAAAGCTTGACTTTTATCACAATGGGTGGGAATCTGACTGGCAACATAGAAACCTCATGGGCAAGCCCCATGAATGAATCACCCGCAGAAAATGTCACCTTATGAACATATAGTCAAGAACATACAGTCTCACACAGAGAGACACCAGAAAGTGATTCTGACTCCGTGCATGCAAAAAAGTCACAATACTCTTCTAGGACTTACAGGTGAGTCAGGTCCCGGAGGCCACGAAAAGCATTTCTTGAGATGGTTTCTATTTTGTTCCCTTCAATGAACCTAAGAAGAACAGCAGTATTATTAAATTTCCCATCAAAAATGATACTGCCAACGAATGTAGACTATAGATCAAACACAATGGCCACTCAATGCCTCTAGTACAAACTGCAACACCCAAAAGGAAAAAGAGAACAAAAGGGAATGCTCTGCTTCAAATGGGATGGAGTGGGGGGGGGAGGGTGATGGGGTGGGGGTGGTGGGAGGGATATTGGGATCAGTGGTGGTGGAAAATGGGCACTGGTGGAGGGATGGGTACTTGATCACTGTATAACTGAAACCCAAGCACAAAAATTTGTAAGTCTACAACTGTACCTCATGGTGTTTCACTAATAAAATTTTTTTAAAAAAATTAAAATAAAAAAGAAAGAAAAAGAAAAGATACTGCCTTTGAATTTTTTTCAATGCCAGTGATAGAACCCAGGGATCTACATATGCAAGGGAAATGCTCTACTGTATACCCTTAGTCCCTCAGGATAAAATCTACGGGTATTTATGACTTTAAAAATGCAAGTCTGGGTTAGAGAAATATTACATGGGGCAAAAAGCATTTGCCTTGCATGCAGCTGACTATGATTCCTGGCACCATATATTGGCCCCTGACCACTGTCAGGAGCAATCCCTGAGTACAGCGTCAGGATTAACTGCTGAACACCACTGGCTGTGGCACAAATCCTCTCTAAAACAATCATCTCTGAAGACAAGGTGAGATCCCACATGGGAGCAGGTGTGTGCAGGGCATGTGGAGGATGTGTGCTGGGTGTGAGCAGGACATGTGCAGGGCATGCACAGGGTGTGCTTTGGGTGTATTCTGGGCATGTAAAGGGAGTGTTCTGGGTATATTCTGGGTATGCATTCTGCACGTGCAGGGTGTGTGCAGAGTGTGTGCTGGACATGTGCAGGACATGGGGAACTGAGTATTTTCTGGGCATGTGCAGGGTGTGTGCTGGGCATGCGCAGGGCATGTTCTGAGCATGTGCTGGGATATGTAGGGCATGTGCTGGGTGTACGCTGGGTATATACACCATGCACATAGTATGTTCTCTACATGCCTTTCAGAAGCAACAGGGAAGACTTTAAGTTCAGAATGGCAATGAGAGCACAAGCACCTGAAAGGATGAAAATGAAGATACCGGACCATGAAGCCATGGTATAGAGGTTTGCATGTTTTAATCTCCAGTGCCAAATATGGTCCCCCAAACACTGCCTGGGCATACTCCTTAGCACAGAGCTAAGAGGGTCTTCCTAGTACTACCAAGTATGACCCACTATATCCCAGCCCCCGCCCAAATAAGAAGAAAGGCACAAAAGTAAGACATTCTCCCATCTCTGCAAGACTGGAATGCTTCCAAATATTTTCATCACTCAAACCTTGGTCCATCTCACAGAACTTGAGTATTAACATTTGGTTAATATCATTGTCCCTTGGGGGAAAAACCCATTGGTTTATCTCTATGCTGAAGTATTTGCTAAGAGAAGTTCTATTAAGCTTTGGCTTCCAGCAAACTTGAGTTCATCATATCCTACATAGTCTAATCTCTGAACAAAAGAGTGATGAGGCAGGGGTATTCTCAAGATGCTTAAGCTGGCAAGAAAAAGGAAATACAGTGAGATTAAATATAAGCCAAACTTATTTCCCTAACATAAACTAAAATATTTCAGAGCTGGACCATACAATTGTGCAATAGTAATTCTGGCCACGATCTAAGTCTTTATGGGAAATACACAGAGTGCATGCACTCCAACTACTCCCAAGGATCACAGAGGAATAATTTTCATTTATACATACCATTATATCAAATGTAAGATGCTCCTTTGACGAGAAGGTCCAAGAGAGAAGCTCTGCAACCCAATGCTATTAGTGAAGCAGTTTTGTTTCCCTTAAATGTTGTGGGATCATATGTAACAATGCTGAGGAATCCCTTACAGGGTCAGGGGTCAAACCCAGGGTCTCACACAAGCTAAAAATTTTCTCTGCTATACCAGGCACATTTCTGGCCCTCATTCTTATGTTGAGAACTTTCTGATGATTGTTTGTTAAAAAAAATCAGGGATCTGGGGCAGAAAGATAGCATAGTGTAAGATAAGATGCTCACACACAGATGACCTGGGTTCATTCCCTGGCACTGCATATGGTCCCCTGAGCTGCACCAGGAATGGTCACAGAGCACAGAGCCAGGAGTAAGCCCTGAGAACACCGGGATGTGGTCCAAAACCCACACGCAAAATCAGGGGTATCACCATAGCCATGCCACTGGACCCTGCGCCAGGCTGTTTCATTCAGGGCTCCCCAAAGGGAGCAGGTGAGAGCCCTCCCCACCACAAGGGACCCAGCCCCGGGAACCGAAAACCTCCACAATCCAACTGCCGCAATGTTCAAGGCTGTTCCCCACAAGTTCGGGCTGACCCTCACACGCGAGTGAATGTATTCCTGGACCGCACAGTCACATTTGCAGAATGCAACATACCATAAGACACTCCCTACCCATTCTCCAAGAGTACCACACCACATTTGATCGGGTTCAAATAGTAGGCAACCAATCATAGAGGAAAAAAAAAATATATATATATATATATTCAGATATATATACGAAAGTTCACATCACTCAACCTTTAACATGTTAGTGATATACTAAAGAAGGTCTTAATGGCCCCTGCCAAAATAGAACAATCTTCATACTATTTCCTTTATGAATACTTTTTTTGTAGCATTTTCAGCACTTTTTCACAACAAACAATACCAAATATATTATTTCGGTTGTGCTTTGGAACAGGGATTGAAGCTTGGGATGAGAACATCCCAAATATGGTGGTGGGAAGGTATAATGGTGGTGGGATTGGTGTTTAAATATTAAATGTAATCAAATTTTGTGAACTACCTTATAAAATAAATTTTTTTTAAAAATCAGGGGCATATTTAGTAGTAGGTTTTTGTTGTTGTTATTGTTATTTAATCTTTTTATTAAATCACCATGAGATAAACAGTTACAAAGTTGTCCATGACTGGGTTTCAGTCATACATGTAATAGGGTATTGTCATATGGGTTTGTCATATTCAATGACAAACCTATAGGTTTTTCTTTAAAGTGATTCCAGCTCAGGGCTGGAGAGATAGTACAGTGGGAAGGGTGTTTGCCTTGCATGCTGCCAACATGGGTTTGATCGTTGACATACCATTTGGTCCCCCCAAGCACCACCAGAAGTAATTCCTGAGTGTAAATCCAAGAGTAGCCCCTGAGCATTGCCGGGTATGACCCAACAAAACAAAAATTAAAATAAAATAATAAAATAAAGTGATTCCAGCCCAATAACCTGGACAGGAGATGAACTGCTCATAAGAAAAGTGGAAGCTTGACACTGACCACCTCCATCAGTTGCTCAGACAGAGGCAGTTGTCCAGTCACACTGGTCTTTGCATGTCCCGTGCACTACAGAGTATTATGAGGGAACGCATGGTATGTGTACTCTGCAGAAAGGAGCCACAGAGACAGATTTCTCGAGGACATAAAAACACAGAGTGCTTCCTTAGATGCTGACAAGCTCAGTAGGAAGACAAACACCTACATGAAAGCTACAAAGAAGAAAGAAAGTCAAGCCAACTCAAGTCCAAAGATGGACATTCCATCTGATACTAGGATTAACTACCATCCAACAGGGATGAAAGATGGGTGGGGAGTATGAAAATGGGTAGGGCAGAAATTCAAACAGAGTTCGTGGCTAGGGCAAAACGAAACACCCTGCACATCTATAAATGGAAAATAGGGATGGGGGTTCCTAAAAAATAAATAAAGTTGACCCTCAGTAGCTACTAAAAAATGTAACAAGGGCAGCTGAATGAAAGAAGCTAACGATGGAGGCCAGGGATGGAGCGCATGGGAAAGTGCCTGCCTTTCCACTGTGTGAGGCGCTGGGTTGGATCCCTAGACCTGCCAATAAATAAATATATCATAAATAAAACCCTAACATTGTCTCCCCTCTATGGAGACTTTATTTAAAAATAAGTAATTCTCAGCATCCTTCAACTCTATTGCTGTCTGATCAGCAAATCCCTACCTAGTTACAGGAGGTAAAAGTGTCCGTTGCGATTTCCAATTATGCTTACCACACGACAAATTAAATGTCAGCAAAGAGTGAGTATCTTTCCTTCTCTGTCTCCTTTATCCACAAGTAAACTCTGAAAGGTCAGTGCTAAAAAAAGAACAGAGTTTTCTCCACACAGAGCTCTGAGCTGCTGTTCCAGCTGGAAAGCACTCGAGTCATTCACTGCCATGCGATTGCCAGTGAACAGACAAAACACAAAAACTCACAGGTACTCAAGATGAAAAAGTCCAGCGAAAGCATCATCCCGGATGACTGTGAACGAGTTAGAATTCAGCAATCTGGAAATAAAAGAGAGATTTCAATGCAAAGACATGGCATTTGTTTCACAAGAGGAAGCCTTTTTTGTAGCTTGAGGGTGGGGGTCCAGAATGGTGCTCAGGGTATCTGAGGAGGCCCCTTCAGTGGTTCTTGGGCAACTGGGTGATTGGTTCCATGCTGGAGTCGGCGTATGTGGTTCTGCTGGGGCCCTGTTGGTGCTAGGGACTACCTGGGCCACCTCAATGGTTCTTGGGGGCGACTCAAGGTCCACACCTGGTGGTGCTTGGGGGTCCATATAATGTGTAGGACTGAACTGCAGTTGGCTGCATGCAAGGCATGAGTCCTAACCCCTGTAATATCCCCCACCCCCGCTCTCATTTTTGTTTCTTTCTTTTTTTCCAATGCTCTCATCCCTGACAACCATGGGTCTTCTTGGCCCAAGACTGGCCTGTTAGGTACCCAGCCCAGTTCAAAGATGCTGATGGACATTGCCAAGTTGATCCCCTCTGTTCATATTTTGGGGTTATCCATGCTACTCTACTCTTTTCCCCTATTTGTCTCCATAAATATAACCTTGTAGCTGTTATTTCAAAACATTCAAGTATTCAACGCAACTCAAGAGTCAGAAAATGTTTTTCAAACACCTGCAATCACAAAGATGCCTGAGAAGTTCTAGTCCATCAAAGATGTTAGAGAAGTTTTGAACCCATAGAAGTTAAGTGACTTGACAAAAATCACACAACTGAGACAAAATGTGTATTTATATTTATACAACTTCCTCATGAAACAAAATTCAAGTGCTAAGAAACTTACAGAAGTTTCTTTTGCCACAAAATTTCAAAATGCAACACCACTAAATTTTGTTACAGACTTATGAATTCTCCATAACTGCCAAGTAGGTCTACTTGGTAAAAGACCTAGAGTCATATTACTATCAGGTGGAAAGTATATTTTAGTAGACCTACAATTCTGAAGAAATATCAGTGTTTAAAGGTTCAGCATAAGTTTGTATGTAGGCACATAACCTTAAAGAAGAATCTCAACAGTGAATTTCTGTAAGATAAACAGATCTCCTGTGTCTCCCTATTTTTCTGTTTTGGGTGGCTTGTTTTAATTTTGTTGTCATCTCCAATTACAGAAGCCAATCAAGAGAATAACTTACAGGCTCACAACTCTGCCTGACCAAGATTAGCTCCTGAAAACTGTCCTTTGAATATCAGCAAACATGCACCACACAGACCTCAGAGCACAACTCAAAGGGGATCTGGGATGCAGAGTTACTCAGTGTATGAGCTTAGCAATCTGGGTTAGGGGTGAATTCAGGCTATCATTCCCTCTAGTCAATTTTTCTCAATCATTAAATGGAGAAATAAAGATACCGCTCTGGAGCCAGAGACACGAGCAGGTGTGGTGCATGCCTTGCATGCCGCTAACCCTGATTCAATCCCTGGCACTGTATAGGGTCCCCCAAGCAACCCAAAGAGTGAGCCCTGAGCACAGAACCAAGGATAAGCCCTGAGCACCACTGGGTGTGGACCCCAAACCAAAAAACAGACATAAGAAAGAATTTCTTTTTTAAATCCCACCCATGTTAAATCAAACAATGCCTGTAAGTACATAGTAGGCTGCCTGATGAGGTAAGCTAGACATACCCTTTTTCCAATGCAACACTGAAATTAAAAAACAGGCTTTCTTTTAAAGGGGATGGGGGAGGGGGGTTTAGGGCAATGGTTCATGTAGGTGAACGTCTCTGGTAGATATAATTATGTCGTAGTTGCTGGATACAGGAGCTGGTCCCTAGACCCTTTTTTGAGAAATCACCGTCACTGTCACTGTCCTCCTGTTGTTCATCAATTTTGCTCGAGCGGGCCCAGTAACATCTCCATTGTGACAATTGTTACTGTGTTTGGCATATTGAATACATCAAGAACATCTTTTTTCTTTCTTTTTGGTTTTTTCGGTCACACCCAGCAATGCTCAGGGGTTACACCTGGCTCTGTGTGCAGGAATTTCTCCTGGCAGTGCTTGGGGAACTATATGGGATGCCAGGGATTGAACCTTGGTCAGCCGTGTGCAAGGCAAATGCCCTACCTGCTATACTATCACTCCGACCCCAAGAACATCTTTTTGATGAAGGAGAAGACACAGCAAGGAGCCTCCAGACAAAGCTTGGAGGGGCCCTACAGGTCCTATGAGCAATAAGATTAGCTGTGGTTTGTTTAAAATACTTGGACATCTTAGTAGGGTAATGGACTGGGGGATAGCTCAAGGGCTGGAGGCCTAAGCCCCCAATTCCATTCCCGCCCCACTATAGCACAGGTTGGTCTCTACTACACCCAAGCATGGAACCATCTGATCTCGTTGGTGCATAATGCTGAGGACTGGCAACTGAGCATTGCTTGAAATCACCCCACCCCTCCACACACAAAAAAGAAGAACCAGTATCAAAGATGTAGGTATGAGGCACCACGACACCCATTTCCTAGAGCACACACACACACCATACATCCCATACTCACAGCAGTTGTAGAGAAGGTAGGTGGGAAAACATTCGGTCTTTGATTTCCAAGAAGGTTCCATTGACCAGGCTCCTACGGACAAAATTGGAAAAAAATAAGGCCCAGGTTTGTTTCAGGAGCAGGCGAGGCAGTGGGTCTGCCCGTCTCCACACAGGACACATGGAGGGTTGGCGAGGGCATCTCAGGGTCAGGAGCCAGAAGAGACTGGACCCCTATCCATTTTATTTGACTTCAGCTTGGACCGCCATGCTCCTGGCTTCATGCAGGTGATCTAAGCCCATTCATGTCCAGTCCCTGCCCTCCTGTCCTCAAGAGCAGGAGGCCCCAGCTAAAATGGATTGGGATTGTGGTTTCACTTGCCGGGGATGATGTTGGTGCAGATGTGACATTCATGTTGGCCCATGAAACTCTGGGGTAGGATTAAGAGTACAACCCTGCGAGTTGCTCAGTGCATGTGTGATGGAATGTACCCAGGAAACCTGGGGGTGCCCCCTGAACCCATGTGTGTGTGTGTGTGTGTGTGTGTGTGTGTGTGTGTTTGTGTGGAAACTTGACAGAAGGTAGGGACATCTGCCAGGCAGAACTGCTAACGTGGAGCAAAGAGCTGAGCTCTCTGTACCCTCCGGACCCCTGTCCTTTCAGTCACACAGAATGTTGCCGAATTCTTTCCCAGAACCTGCCTGTCCCGAAAGCAGCTGCAGGTCCGAAGATGTAGCTAACAGGGAAATTCTCCTTTCTGGAATCCTCCATGGCATCTGACTTAGCAATATGAGCCATCAGAGAGGCTCCGGCCAGAGGCTCCTGACTTTTTAGAAATTCCAAGGGGAACCTTCCAGTTTGGCTTCTGGGAGGCATGGGAGAAAGGGCTCTGAGCTGGGTACTCCGTGCCCCGCTGCCTGCTGCCAGACTGGACATCTCCGCAGCAGGCTGGCCTGGAACTAGAGAGTCATTCCAGCAGAGAATGTTTCCCAGCAGCAGCGCTGGGGCCTGGGGCCCCTCCATGGCCATTAGGGGAGCTGGTGATTTGGCCTGCGGGGCTCACAGAGGGCAGGAAGAGACCAGACTGGGAGCAAATGGGGAGGAAAAAAAAAAAACCAGGGCACCCTCTCCTGTCCATTCCAGCCCTGGAAAAGCCGAGTGGGGTGTGGGGTGGCAAGAAGCCTTCCAGCACTTACAGCTGCACCCCCGCCCCCACCCGGCGCTATCCGTTTCTCCTGCTCCTCTTGTCCAGAACACACGGCAGCCCCCCAGTCCAAAAGCAGCTTCCATACCTGAGCTATGGAGAGGTGGGGAGACGTGGAGGGTTGGAGACCCCAGAGGTGGACACAGGCCTCATCCCTTCCCAGTTGGCCTCTCTCTCCACATACCCCCCCTACAGCCTCTCAAACTTTAATGCACCCCCCAAACCGCGGAGGGAGTCTGAGGCAGACTCCCCGGCCCCACTCGAGCGTCATTCAGCCTGCGGGAGGGGTGGGCTGGTGATGTGCGTCCGCACCAGCGCCCCCAGGTGGGTCCCGTGCAGGTGGCCGGCGGGCCCCACTTGGAGAAACACTGCCACGGAGACTTGTCCCGGGTCCCAGGCGCTCGGGGGGACCCTCCATCCTCCCTGGGGAGGAGCGGGGGCTGAGTCTGCATCCATCCACGACCCTGGGCGCTCACCCCCACCCATCCCCACCCCCTCCCCCCCCACACACACACACCCCGCATCCTTCCCATCCTGTCCCGAAGCGGCCGCCGGGGAGCGGGGGTCCCGGGCGCGGCGTCCCGGCGCGGGGCGCGCGGCGCGAGGGGTTCCCACTCACTCACAGGGAGCTGATGTCGCCGGGCACGGTTCGGGGCACCCAGGAGGAGCCCACGCAGATGATGGACTCCTTGGTACAGCTGCAAGTGGCGGGGCAGCGCGCCAGGCGCCTCACCTGCGCGCCGGGGACCAGCAGGCATGCGGCGCCCAGCAGCAGCAGCAGCAGCCGGCCCGGCGCCCCTGCACGGCCGCCCCTCGGCAGCGCCATGCCCGGTGCCCCCCGCTGCAGACGCGGGCGCCGCTCCCGCTCGGCCGCCGCCGCCGCCGCCGCCGCTGCTGGCGAGGACGCGGGCGCCGCGGGTGTGGGAGGCCGAGCCGCAGCCGAGCAGCATGCTGCCCGCCACCCCCCTCGGCGCGCCCCCACCCGAGCCCGGGCTGCCGGGCGCCCGCCGCACCCGCGCCCGCCTGACATCAGCGCCCGCGCCCGCAGCCCTCTCTGGCCAATGGGAGGGGGCCTGGCACCGCCCCGGCCGCGCCCCCCCGGGCCCCTCGGGGGGCTCCCCGCGGGGCGCGGGGAAAAAGTTGGGTGACCTTGGGGGGAGGGGCCGGCCTGGGCCGGGACCCTCTCCACGGAGAGTAGGAGTGGGGAGGGGGGGTCCCGACTGAGCGATGAGCAGGCGTCCGTCCGTGGGGACGGTGGGGAGACACCCCCTGCAGGCCCTCCAGCCGCCCAGAATTAGCAGGCACGGGGACTGGGCTTCTCTGAGCCGGGCCAAAACGGGAATCCACCGGCTACCTCTCCCCCACGCCCCCTCCCCCCCCCCCCCCCCCCCAAAGTAAGACTGGAGGAACTGGAGAGGCAAGATTTGGGGCATGCATGCAAGAGAAGAAATGAAGGGAGGTTGTTTGGCAGCAGGCTGTGGGGCTTGACCCCATCCGGGTTACTGACGCCCACCCTTTTCCCCTCCCCAGGGAATGCAGAGGGGAATGTGGTCACAGCAGCTGGCCTGGGGAGGGGTGAGCCGCCAGGGGCTCCTGTAGAGCTGAAGCACCCGGTCAGGTTTTCTTCTCTGAGTTTCCTCCCTGGCTACCCCACCCACCCCATTAAAGCGCAGGCATCTTCTTCACCCATGAGGGTCTGGGCGCAATCGCTCTGGACACTGCACAGTTCCACTTCTCCTAACCCTTTGAGGCAGGTCCTAATTAAATCCCTGATTTACCCACGAGGAAGCTGACGCATGAGAGAAGTAGACTCTCCCCCAACCCCAACTGAATGGCGGTCCTCCTGGGAATGGATGGGAAGAGATGAAGGGTGGGAGCCTGGGATGGACGCAGGAACTACGGCTCCATCCGCACCACTGGCCAGTTGAGCTTGAATCTTCCACAAAGTAGTGTTCACTGGGAAAATCGGAGACAACGGTCAAAGCAGAATCAAAATAAAGTCTAACAGCCCTGAACTGCTCCCAATGGGAATCAGGGTCCCTGGAGGATCAGGTTGTTAGGTCAAGCTCCTAAGTAAGGAAACATTTCATCTGGTAAGATCGACCCCAGAAAGACAGACCCCCATGCAAAGCTTATTCCTGTGGGAGTCATTAATCCTCTGAGCACACCCTGAATTGGCCTCTGGGAGAGAAGACCAGAAACAGTCTCTCTGCTCTAGGAAAGTGAAGTCTAGCTAGGCAGAGAGCCCAGAAGAAGAAAGTCCACGTGACTCCATGCAGTCACCGATGAAAGGGGACTGGAAATTGAGTTTGTGGTAGGCAGCTTCAAGGAGGAGCTGAACATCCACTGCATTCATTATTGGTCCCTCACCCAGGACTGAGGTGAACCGGTCTATGTTTATTACCAGCTCACCTCTGCCTCACAAGTGGGATCTTCCCATTTTACAAATGGGAAACTTATTTTCCTTTTCCTTTTCTTTTTTTCTAACTTCTCACCCAAGGTCACCCGGGATATAGTCAGGAGGATCCTGCTCACAAACTGTCTGCTGGGTCTAGTTTTCACAAGTGAATTTTGGCTTCATGTTAGGGATGGGTGAGGAAGACGCAAGTGTGTGTTGGGGGTTGGGAGGGGGAGATGCTGTGCTTGAAAGTTGGACTGGAGAGACATGGGCTACTGCTTTAAAGAGGAGGTGAGGATGAGTGAAGGGAGGAGCAAGGGTGAGAAGGGAAATTCTGGTGTAGATCTGACCCTCTTTGGGACAAGGCATCCCAGTCTTGTCCTTACTAACAGGAGCAAGTTATCACCTCCCTGTAAGCTTTGCTTTCTTTGCCTGTAAAACAGGAGATAGTTGTATTCACTGTTGGCACGACATGTTGGCATGAAGGTCAAGCTCCTATGTGATAAGTGGCATGTAGGAGGCACTGCAGACAGGCAGTCCTGGACTATAACAGGTTGTGTACAATGCTTCCTCTCTGCGGTGATGTGAACACAGTAAGCATCCAGGAGGGACCATAACACATCACATTCCCCAGAGCCGGGGTGATGGCTACCAGCCCTACCTCATTTTCAACTTATGATCCCTTCAACTTAGAATTTGATGTAGTTTTTACTAGATGATCTACTAGAACTGTCATGTGTTGAAAAACATCTGGATTTGTTCAGATGGGATTAGATTAGTTAGATTTCTTGGTCTTTTCGCAACCATGGCTCCTACTGACCTTGTTTCTTTCCTGTGCACCCACCATCCTCTACTAGTTAAACCCTGGTCTCATACCATGCCCACGTGTCATGATGCTCAATCGTGAGTGACATCTGACCATACCTGGAAGCAGGTGGGGTCTTTGCAGTGGGACAGACGACTCTGGCATCTCCCCTGACTCCCCTGACTCACCAAAGAGTGATCAGTCCCAGAGGTCACTTGGGCCAAAGTAGATTGACCCTGATCTAGTACTTTGGAGTGACCCTTGACACAAGCAATTCCAGAAATACAGATTTGGAGCCTGGCTCCTCCCATTTCCAGCATCTGTCTTCTCATCTAGAAAACAAGGACAGTGACCCCTGGGTTGCTTATCCTTAAATAAATGTGACCTAGAACCATCTTTACTCTTTTACCTCCCATCTAGGACTACGTCCAGCCTCTCCTCTTCATCTTTAAGAACTAGAAAGTTCCTAAGTGGAAGGGTGCAGGGAGAAGACTTGGGTAGCATAGCTGGCAGGCTTGCTATTTGTTTCGACTCTGTTAGAGACACTAAGTAAGTGAGTGCTTGTAAATTATAAGGTGCCATTTATAAATCAGATATAAAAGTGGAAATGCAGATTAGCTTGGTTTGATTCCAAGATCTTCAGTGGTTAAAAAAAAACCTTAATAGACAATCAGAGAGACACAATCTGTTTCCAGGAAATAGCTTGAGTTTTTTGCAATGTAAAAATTCTCACTAAGATATACTCATTCGAGGACAGGAGCAGAGATTCTTGCAGAGATTCTTACAGAGGTTGGAAGGGAGCAAAGGGGCCTGTGTGGGTAGCTCAAAATATTTTTCATTTATTTCCCCTCATTCAACCACCAGCTCATCCAACCAAAATTGGTTGAAAACATACTAAGTAGTGGGTTTAAGTGTGAAATTTAAGAATATTCCCCAGATTTTAATGGTCTGGAGCAAAATAGTTGGGGAAAGATAGAGGTACCATTTCTTGAGGTAAGAAGTCCTTCAAGTAGAGAGGGCTTGAATGGAAAAGATGTGTCAAAGGTTTGATGTTGGAAATGCTGACTCTTAACCATCCATGAGGCATTCCATTATCTATGCCAGCAAGATGACCTGGAGAAGATAAAGAAGAAATGAGGGTGGCAAAGGGAAATCTTCATTTCCCAAATAAAACCTTACACACACACACACAGAGAGAGAGAGAGAGAGAGAGAGAGAGAGAGAGAGAGAGAGAGAGAACTCTAGATATTATGGTGACTGAGTGAATGAATGAATGACATTTGAAAACACAGATATTAAAGATAAATTATTTCAGGTGCAATCATTAACAAAAAGAGGGGACAGAGTCATGTTTCAGCCAGTAGGAAGGACATTTACTTTGCACTCAGCCAACCTGGGTTTGATCCCCAGCACCCCAGAAGTCACCTGAGTACAGCTTAGAGGTGATCCCTCAGCACAAAGCCAGACGTAAGCCCTGAATAGAGCTAGATGTGGCCCATAGACAACAAAAAGAAAAAAGTATAGAAAGAAACAAGAACACAAAGAAGTGTGTGGATCTAAAAGTAATGCAGTTTGGAGATCTGTTTCTAGATTTTAAAATACTGAGGTTAGGGGCAGTAGGCAAATCAAAATAACTTAGAGGGAGAGGAGCACCTGGCTGGCTTATCCTAGGTGGACACTGTAAAAAGATAAACCAGATCAATGGACAAAATAAGATAAAGTTAAGTCAGTAGACATTGAAAACTGATGTTACAAGTAAGGAAGTGAGGTAGGAGCAAGGGTGGGTAAGATCTAATGGATGGTGATGGGGTCATATTTTTTTTCAAAATATTTTTTAATGCTTGAGGGCCAGAGCAATAGTATAGCAGACAAAGTGGTTGCCTTGGACACAGCCAACCTGGGTTCAATTTCCAGCACCACATATGGCCCCCTGAGCACTGCCAGAATTAATCCTTGAGTGCAGAACCAGGAGGAAGCCCTGAGCACTGCCAGGCATGGCCCCCAAACAAACAATAACAACAACAACAACAACAAAACACGAAATAAATAAATAAATAAATAAAGACAAAAGTGCTTCAAATCTTAAACCAACTTCCTAAGAATCTCAACAGCCTCCTTAAGCTTCTACTCTTCCTCTCTGACATCCCTCCATTTTCCAAACAAACTCTACTCCACTCCCTCCCACCTCCCCACACCGAGTGATCTCTCCAAACCAGAAAACTTTGGAAAGCCTTCACTTACATTAAATACTTCTGGCTCTGCCACTGGCTTTAACAACCGAAGGGAAATAATTCTTCTGAACCTCAGAGGCATTTGGTTTGAGTGGCTGTAAATTGAACTCCCTGGGGCCAAAAAAAAAAGAAAAAGAAAAAGAAAGAAAGAAAACTATTCCTTCCCCCAACCCGCCCCTTTTTTCTATCAGAGTTTTCCAACCCCCTCACTGACCATGTCACCCCACCATGCCAAATTTGTGGTTGCTCCTAGTCCAACGTGAAGACCGAGTCTGGTTTCCTATTATTTCCCCTCTTCATAAACTCAGTGTGTGTCACGAGTCAGAAACTCCCTCTGAATCTGCTCCAGATTGGCCTCTTGAATTAGATAATGTTCTTGAAGGGCTGCCTGGGGATATATCATGCAGTTTTCTAAATGTGTTTTCGGGATCCTAACCATGGTTTCCAAAATGATCTTAGTCCTAATGACCTTGGTCCTACTGACCTTGGCTGCCTCCTCCTCAGCCCCAGTGAAGTGGACACCTGTAAGATATTTGTCACCCACCAT